TATCATTTAGTGAAGACAAAGGTGGTGTCCGATACGACCGCTATAGCCAAGGTCAGCAAGACGTAGCTTTAATGATCAAATTGGCATATGGGTGTAATAGGACATTCAAATTATCAGATACAAAGTACAACAGTTATCATTATTGTTACCTATATTAGGTTAAACGGTATCAAATTTATCAATTATAGCTCCTACTGCTCTAAGTCTTTACAAATGAAGAAATAGTATAAGCGATGCCGCGTTTGCCGACTATAACACCTCCTTCAACCACTAATACTTTGAGGAGCTGTATTCGCAAACCAATCAACGAGAAATAAAAATTTTAACGCGTAAGTTTATAATAAACATGGTTTTATTAAGTCATGATATTTTTATTATATGTTACCATTTAAAAATCAAAAGTTGATAGCGATTTCACCAATAAATATAAGGGTAAAAAAATAAATATATTTTACGGTTTTAGAATAACATAAAGCTAAAAGTTTAAAATAAAAAATTCAAAAAAAGTTAATACTTTCCGAGATAATTAGTATACCCAATTAAATGGATCACCCTGTATATACCTATATATATTTGGGATTTTATTGGTTCATCCCCCGTTGAGAAAGTCTTCCACTAATTCACTTCCCCTTACCCGCCTCGGTGGTGGAACCATGTAACAATACTATATGTAGGTAGGTATATMGGTACATTACCTATGGCTTTGTAGTAGGTGGTAGAGATTACCGTGAACATCGGACCTTTATAGTCCCATCTGATACACACAAAGTCTCGAGTGAGTCGAGTCACTAATACAATTATTATTTTTCAAATTATTACAAAATACGTTTTCTCCATAACGGCTTTTCCGTTTTGTTCTCAATTTTCTTTGCAACTACAGGTAAAATCTAAAAACAGCTTATTAATTACAATAATATCTATTCAAAATTGCATATTTATAGTATCATCACAACATACACTTTATAGTTTATAATAGTTCTGCAGCATTAACTTACTTAAAAATTAAAAATATGGTATACAACTGACAATTGACATGTATAAAACAGTTCATGATTTTACCTTTAAGTTTGATAATAAATCAATTTATTTTATTATTAGAGCTAACAACAATAGATTGAATCTCCAGAATGAAAATTGACCATCTTCTCATAARACCAAAACAGCACATGTACCTAATGTAATTTCTACCTAAGTAATGTATTTGATATCCTGGTGAGTGGTGACCTGGTAGATAGGTATTAAATTATGGTTAATATATTTACTGTCAACTATTCTACATGATAAATGTTTGATCCTGTTATAAAATGCTTATGCAATTATAAACAAAATTACACATAAGATTGGTACCTATCTAACAACAAAATTACTTTTTTTTTATGAACTTAACATACATTTGTTTAATTAATAGGATAACATCATATAAGTACATAGTTTTCTGTAAATTTTATAGCTATAATTTTTTTTTTTAGATCAGTCATATTACCAAATTGGTTTTGGTTTGTTATATGAACTCTAGTCGGTAATAACCTATTTGACATAGGTCTAGAATAAGCTATTTGAAATTTGTATAGTTGTATGGTAGTGTTTAAACTTTAAAAAAAGATTATACATATCATAATATCATTAAATCTAAATATAATACTTTATTATTATTATTATTTGAGGTTTATACTTTTATGCTATACATAATGTACTGATAAAGTAATAAATATACGCAGGCGTGTAGCCCGGGGGAGGGGGGTTTACAGTTGTAATAACACCCCCCTCAGCCATGGTATACTTAATATTTTTTTTATCAAGATAAAGATGCATCATAAGCACGAATTATCTTAAATCGTGATTTACACTTATTTATCAAAATGAAGTATATTAGTTTATATTACGATAACAATAATGTAAAGCACTAAAGCCGGGATCCGGCATTAATTACTATTTTAGACCGTTCTGTTACGTTTTATCGATTACTCGTTTCATGCACGATTTAATATATCTTTTTATGCAGCGTGTAAGAAAACGTTTACAACTTCTTAATTATTGATTATTTGATTAGCATGATAAACTATGGTATACCTACGTAAAGTTATCAATTTTGTGTTTATAATTTTTTCAATTAATTTTGAATAACACTCCCCCCCCCTTAGAAATTTCTAGCTACGCGCCCGAATATACGTTTTATCGATATTCAGTTGCCTATGGTAAAATTGTGATTCCCATTGATCATGTGTCAGCAACCATTATATTACGTATATCATACATATAAATAGAACACGTTATAGAAAGACATAATATATACCTATTACTCCAAAATATATGCAAATCAAATACTGTATATGCCAACACCACATACATAACACCTACAAGCCGCGTTCGATACATCAAACGAATCACGTGTTTTGATAAAAAATTGTTCGCGTAGGTATATAATAAATGCTACGCCATCGTAAATACGTTCATATTATTATCATCGCTACAATATGTATTATAACAAAAATATAGACGAGCCACTTTAATGCCGTGCACAAGATATAATTTACATGRTCATTTTTACGTCTAAACATGTTAGGTGTAAAACTACAAATTTAATTTAATGGATTATACTAAACAAACCATGTATTATAGCCTATAGATATCATTGTATCATTATTAGTTATTCATTAAAATGAAAATGAACTCATATTTTTAAATACACAAACAATGTTTATTACACTAATTGTGAGTTGTTGAACTTCGACGTAATATAATGTGAAACATTAAGATAATTTTAAATTTTAAAAAAGGAGTATCAAACGCCCTTATACCTTTGAAAAAACTTTTCAACGAATTTAAAAGAATTTACAACAATTTAYACGCAGTAATTTACAGTTGTCGAAGTCATAACTTCCAATGGTAAAATATGCAACTAAAGAAATAAAAAAATCACATACAATAAATCACGTAAAATAATTTTTTTTCATCGGCTGTTTTTATTAAGAACTTTTCAACAACAAAATGAATTATCTTCAAMAATTGTGTAAAAATATAATACCAATAAAACTCACAATATCAAAGAAATACGTTGTCTTAGGGTAGTTTCGTTAAAGAATTTTGAGTGTTTAAATAACTAAATAAATTCATAATCTAATTAGAATAAGGTCATAAAAATATTTTGAAATGTGTGTGGTATACGTTAAATTAAAATATTTACCATACACATGTCACTCACGTAATAAAACATTAAAATTTAATACATAATATAATATCAAATTAAGCAGGATGTTTTATCACGTTGATAATTATGAAGGTGGTCGTGGTTTAAGTTAAAGAAATGTCAGAAAATTTCATCACAACAGCTAATTTACTTCAAAACAAAATTAATAAACTGAATACTACTGACAAATTAAAATCGGTTTAATAATAGRATTTTAATATCTTAGTTGTAACTAATGTATCAAAACATTTTAAAAATGTATTAGACTCATAATACCAAATCGTTTTCTTCTAAACTAAGTGAACCAAGTCAATTTACGTCATATTCTCGTAAATCATAAATTAAACGTACCTACCTAACTCTGTATCTGATATAGTTTTTTATTTGCATAATAATATGTAACACGGCGCATTGTATAGGCAATAGTAGTACATTTGCATAAAAAAAACAACACCATCACTAGGTATACCTATAATATAAATACATGATAATATTATAATTCATAAGTCATAACATATATTTTTTTTAATTGAGATAATTTTACAATCAATACATAATATGTGGTACAAAAAACATAAGAGATATTTTTATTTATATGTAATGGATTGTAAACGTGGTGAAAGAACCGTCCAGATGGCAATTTGTATGAATTTATATAACGGGTGATTCATTTAACATAACACTCCACTCATCATTCAAAAAGTATGTTTTTTGAAAATTGTTTTATTTACGTTATGTTTGGTCTGAACAAAATATATTAGATAATATAAAAATAAATAAAATAATCATATCATCTATATGAGTAAGAGCATGATGTAGTACAGTATTCTATTAATTCAATTACAAAGGCAGTATTTGGTGAATGGTGATAAATATACCTACTAAAACTCGTCAAGTGTTTACATTATGTCTGAACTATAAATAACTTATATCACTAACGTCTTAATTGGATACTTTTAAGCGATGCCGAATATTGACATGTCAAAAAAAGTAAAGAATACGATATGATCATAAAATAATCATGTAGAACATTATGTTATCTACGAGTAGTATCTACTAGTATCTACTAGTATCTAATAACAATATCGAAAATTGCTCACAAAAAAAAAAAATAATAATAATAAATATATTGATCGACCTATTAGGCGAAATGTTGGTAATTGTAAGAGTGGCCCATCTTGATAATACACAAAATATTAGGGTTGGGAAATTATCGGTTGGAGAGTATTTGAAAACATAAGAAAACAAGAGTAAAAATAATAGCATAACAAGTGTAAAAGGCGAATATGCTTACGACGGAGGTGAAGTAAGTGCGTGGAAGACTTACGACACACCATTTCGTAATGTCATGCTCGAATGTGCGATTTAATTCTGCCATTAGCGAGTGAGTAGTCCTGTAGGTGGTTGCAAGATATGTAGTACCTAATCAATTTTGCAAAAGCCATTTGGTATGTACATTTAGTAAGATTAACGCTGGTTCCGCAATCTCATTATAGCCACATCGATGGCTGCCGTCAAGAGGATCTCGGATGTTATAAACAATACCGTGGGAATACATAAAAATAAAATACCTAGAGTAAACCGTCGATGGTGATGGTTGGGTTGATGGTTGGGTTAATGGTGGGGTTGATGATGGCGGTGGTGGTGGTGGTGGTGGTGGTGGTTGCAGTTTTAAAAACACCCAACGCCCGTGTGTGGTAATATTATACACATGAGTGAATGCTATTATGATACGCAAACATGCAGTTTTCCAAAAATATTAAATAACTTACATAACTTATCACGACGATAAATTTATACTTATTTGTTGCAGGACGATTCTGACGATGATGAAGGAGACTAGATATGCAATATGAGTGTTGGCACGCAGCGGTGATGGTTCTATCGACGTCGACGACAACAACGGCGATGATGATGATGATGATGATGACGACGACAATGACGACGATGACCATCTCGTCGTCACCGGGGTGCCCAGAGGGATGYGCGTGCAAGTGGAAAAACGGCAAGCAAACGGTCGAGTGCGTGGACAAGAAGGTGACGAGCGTAACGCTGGCACTAGGCATTGACCCGGCCACGCAAGTGCTGGACATATCAGATAACGATCTTTCAGCAGCCGGGCTTCCCCACGACACGTTCGCCGCGGCCGGTCTGTCCAACTTGCAGCGCATCCACGCATCCCGTTGCAACGTGTACTACGTGCACGACCGAGCGTTCCGAGGCTTGACCAACTTGGTGGACCTGGACCTGTCCAGTAACTGTCTGCGACAAGTGCCTACCGGCGCATTCGCTGAGTGTCCGTCTCTGATGAAGCTTAGCCTGAGCGGCAACCCAATCAGTGACGTGCCGGCCAGAGCGTTTAGGCACCTCAGCCAGCTGACCACGCTCGACCTGAGCAGCTGCGGGCTGACCAACGTCGCGGCTGGCGCGTTCGACGATCTCACCAGCCTCGACTGGCTCAAGTTGGACGACAACCTGTTAACGCACGTCCCCGGACCGCATACGCTACCCACCAGTTTACACGGCGTCGATCTGCACCACAACGACTGGCAGTGCGATTGTCGCATGATCGACATGCATCGATGGCTCACCGCTTCACGGATGTCGGTCGCCGAGGAGCCTGTGTGCTCGGGCCCAGCTGCTTACGCCAACGTGCCGGTGCGCCGAGTGTCGGTGGCCGACCTGGCGTGTGCACCGGCCGCGTACCCTGCCACGCAAATGGTGCAGGATGTGGCAGAGGGCGTCAACGTATCATTCCGGTGCCTTGTGGCCGCCACCCCAGCGGCCACGGTCGAGTGGCTGTACGGCGGCGTACCCGTGTACCGCCACAACGCGTCCGAGCTCATCACCGTGGACGGAAATACGACCGCCGAGCTGTACGTATACAACGCGAGCGTGGCTGATGCCGGTTCGTACGCTTGCGTGGCCGAGAACCGGGCTGGCAGGTCTCGCGTCAACTTTACGGTCACCATCCGACCCGGACGACCGTTCCTGGCCRCGGGTACCGTCGACGATCGTTCCGCACCGTCCCAATCGTCGTCGGCCACGTCAGGTGCCGGTGGAGGGACCAGCGGAGGTGATAGCCGACCACTCTTGTACGTCGGTTGTTTGGCTGCAGGCTCGGTAGCGCTGTCGGCCGTGGCCGCCTTACTGGTGGCCATCCGATGCAGGCGGTTTAAACGCTCCAGCGCTGGCGGCCGAACCTGCGACTCGTCGTCCACTGGCAAGCGAAGGCCCACAATACCCGTGGCCGACGGTTATCGGGCCGTCAGCACGACAGCTGACAAAGAGATCTCAATACCTACGGCTCGTGGCCCATTGTCGACGCGCGCGACTACCACCTTGGTGACGGTAACGGCGGCGGGACAGACGGGGACTGACGACACCACCGTCGCGACGGCTGAGAGCAATCCAGACGTGGTGAGCGACGTGAAACGCACCGGATGGGAGATCGATTTCGAACAGATCGTTTGGGCCGAATGTCCGCCGGCCACCGGTTACGTTTCCATACAGATACCGGTGCAGTGCGGCATCGAGTGTCTGGGTGCGTATTACGCGACCACCGCCGATGCCATGGCCGGAAACCACTGTGGCGGGGCCACGGTCCGGAGACAGCACAGACGAGCTGCCGTGTTGACCGCGTACGACGACACCATGCAGGTGGTGCGCACCACCGCGCAGGGGGGTTATCCAACGACGACCACGGGGCCCGGAACGATTGGCATCCCTGATGAGGCCGCTGCGTTTCGAACCGCTGTAACGCCACCCACTATTGTCGTGGACGACCCCGACGACGGCGGCGGTGGCAGTGTTGGTGGCGTCACACCCATTATCAGCCCACCGTTACCGTTCCGGTCCGGTGACGAAGACGGCGGCGACAAAGACGACTCCATTGCGCTGTAATAAAAGCGAACGACACAACAAAGTTATATTGTATTGTATTATTATTTGTTCGCGAAAAACCATAAAAATTATTATTATGTTCATGATGGTGACGTGACCGGATACGACTTTGTTTTGCTACACGGTTTTTTTTTACTTAAGCAATATCAATAATTATATAATTAATCATTGTATTATATTATAACGTAGCGTTACGGGTATGATAATTATTAATACTATTATTATTATTATTATTGTTGTTAAGATTAATAATGCAGGACTATTATACGAAGGAAGAACAAAGATTTTAAAAAATGTCTGATAGATAAAAAGAATACCATATGGTTTTCTTCGAACCACTTATGAGTAGACCGAGAAAAACAATGCTAACCCTTCGATTTAGAAGAGGAATATGCCAGCAAAGCAGCAGATCCTACTGTCAAAACGGTGAAGACGAACCGATGATAAAAAAGAAAGATACTAATATTATTACAATACTTTTATAAAATATCATCATGTGAAGTAAAATTTGTTGGAGATTAATAATTATATTATATTATAGTAAACGGGAAACGTGTTATGAATATAGTGAAATAAACAACGTGTGTTTTTTTAAGTCTGCATCTATTTATTCATAAATGCATAATATATAGTTTATTTACTTTAATTGCAACATTTATAAGCCGTCACCTAGGATATTGAAGAAGGTTAGGTTGAAATAGCTTCAGACTGATGTAGTGATGTTCCAGAAGCGGTTCAACTTGACTTGGTTCAACAAAATAAAACCCGCCCTTCCTTTCGATTTCCAATGTTTTCATTGTGCGCCTATACATATTCTCGCGTTCGATCCATACACTCATACACACATTCTCATAGTATTATAGGTATATAGGTATATAAATGGTATATAAATGTATAGGTATATTCATATTGGTGTATTAGATAAATAATAAGTAATAAAAAAAACATTATAAACATGGTACGAAACCCTATTTAAGTACCTACTATTGTAATCCTGTCCCATTTTATTATTTTAAAGTATATTGAATATTTAAGTTTAAATCATCTGATAATAATAATACTAATAATAGTTATTTAATATGTGTACATGACAAAAAATAACAATACATCAAAGATTTACATGGTCGCGCTTTGGTACAGATAATACAGTGAGTAAATAAAAAGGAAACATAATATTGTACCATTATATGATGCTCTCAAATAACAGTCAGGAAACAAAATTCTATAATACTAAACAAGAATAAGTATAACTGAAAAACTTGAGTGTTCACTATTATTTTTAAAAATTAAAATGGATACTGGACACTGATCATTTTTACGTTCAAAATTTAAAAACATATTCTATTTTTAAACATTTCTATGGGAGGGGGAAGAATCCTATCGTTCAGATATCACGGTCTTGTTAAACGCTATAATAATATTTTTACTTCATACAAGACAGTCAACGGTTTATTTAAATGGAATTTTAGCCATTATTGACTGATAATAGTATTAAAAATAAATAATATATTTTAAACATTTATAAAACATTGATGAAATTTCAAAGGGGGTCCAAGACCCCTTGAACCTTCGAAACGGCTTTGACGCTAGATATTATATTGAATTTGTCAAGGATATCTACCGTTGCGATTAGATATAGATTTATTTAATAACATAAAAATAATAATAGAAAAACGATTTATCACTAAATAATAAAAAAGACAGTGAGTAAAACAAAAGGTGAATGAGCATATGAAAAAATATAAGATTTATTGGAGGGTTTTTATTTATTATTCGGTTATAAAATATTAGTGTGTTGAAGTTGTCATGTTTTTCACAATATTTTTTTTAATTCATTTATATTTGTTTTTTTTTTTTTGTAATAATAATAAAAATAAATAACTAGGTATATGATTCAGATTACATTTTTGTTATGGGAAAATAATATTCCATAACCAAAAATAAAGATAAAATTATATTAAGACATCTAGGATTCCAAACATGAAACAATTTATTTAGTTTAAAATACAATTGTAAACAGAACAAAACTATTTTGAAAATGAAAAAATAAACAAACCTTATTCATTGTGACATTGTATAAATACAAATAATACAAAACATAAAGGTACGCCAAGTTACGAATAAGACACATATCTACAAACAGAAAAAATGCATTAAAATAAATTTGATCGAAGGATTTTGTAGAACCGGCATTAATATAATCTACTGGTAATTGGCATAATAAGCAACTAATCTTTTAGAATTCTTCGCTTTATATATGGAAATGGAAGCTTAATCAACATCAACCTTAATTAATTTAGACGAAGATTATAGCTCCAATGTTTATTAACCGTACGACGATACGAATATAAATTGATATTAAACTTTAAATATATCACTACCTTGGGACTGCATTTTCACTCGGCTTCAATTTATTACTACACTATTTATTCACGTTGTCAGCTGTTCGTACCTGGTACGTGTACTTTGGMCTGAAAAGTTTTAAGACGATGGTAGGAAAGGGAACAGATAAACACACCTGGTAACATTTTTTAATAAAGGCATATTGATACGATTTTATAATTATTATCAACATTATAAATATTAATATTATTATTATTATTAATCGCATTTATGACCCAAGCTTATTTTCTAATCATTACTTCATTAGTAATTAATTTTTACAGTATAAACATTATAATCTTTAATAATTTATATTTCTTAAGTTATTTCCTGAGAACTACCGCCTAATTTATTGAATACTATGATTTCTAATTTATCTATGCTAACATGTTTTTTTTCTATTATTATTATAAAACATGAAAGTATTAAATTAATTTTTCCTATCAAAAATTTATATATTATCATAGGCGTGCACACGAAGAGGGCAGGGTGGGCAGCTGCCCCTCCCTGCGGGCTACTTTTTTTCTCCCAAATATAGTTTAAAAAAAAAAAAAATATAATATATTTAATATAATTAATATAATTTTATATTACAATGAGTCAATGAATAATTTATATATTGTAAATATTGAGTATACGGTGCACGATAATATTTTGTGTGGTCAAAAGTCCAACTTTGTTCAAGCCACAAGCGATACCGCGTTGATAATGTGTTAATAGATACGCGGCAATAATACTAATAACCAAAATAATATTAAATTATATATTATATATAGTATATATAATATTCTATATATTATAATACTACTGTATATAATATATACATTCTGCCCCCCTATCAGCAAGGTCTGCGCACTCCTACGTATATTATATTATATACAGAGATAGAAAAGGATGGGGCAATATCATCGGGGTTTAAAAAATTCTGAATGCTACACTGATCTTAGCGTGTAGTACGTGTTATTGTATTTATTCATTCATCCTTTCAAGTTTCAACATGTGTTCATATATAATAGTATATATATATAATATTAACTGATCCCGTGTACTTCGTTGCCCGTTAAAAACACCAAACTTCATATGATTCAAAATATGTGTTCAATTCGACATTTATAATACGTGACGTAGTGATGTTCAAAACTTTCCATCACAAATTCTAGTGGACTTACACCATGTATAATACAAATATAAAATGCTGGTCTAAAACGATATTCTATCATAAAAACTATTTAATTCTCTCGCCTATTTATCTTTGTATAAGTAAAAAAATTTTTGGTACCTAATAAGTAATAAATAACCAATTAGGATAATCCCTTATTCATCTTTACTAAATTTTTAGCCAAGTATATTAATCTTGTATAATAAACAAAAATATATTATTATTTCTATTAATCCGATAGAAAATCTCAAATTTTCAATGAAAAAAAAATAAGAGCCACTATAAAATATAGTATATAGATACTTGATATAGTGTAGTTTTCCGATGATTAAAAGAATCTAAAACCAGTTAAGTATACTTCGCGCCACAAGAAAATGAATCCGTTTCGCGCATGCAGACTGGCGACAGCTGCTAGCGGTAATATGCTCCCCCCCCCCACTTTGTCGTTCACAGTTCGCGCTGTGGCGTGCATACGATTACATGCGCGAATTCGATTGCATTTTGGTCGGGACCTCTCTTTTGGAATTTGGTTAGGTACTTCTCTCGTGGCACGGAGTATAATTCCAGAAATTACTCTGAACAAACGATTTTTCATTGTGTGTAATAATATTAATAACTAATAAGTACCTGTCTTACCTATTACCCATAGATTGTTTTTGGAAAATAATTAAACATCGTTAATTATTATTTATTTAATATAATATGGTATTGACTCTAAAACAAGCATATTATAAATACTTTACTCGATTCATAACATTCTTGCCAAGTCACATAAGATAAGGTTGTTGCAAATAGAAGTAAATATTGGAAAAATTTTCAGTGACGATGTGTGTGGGTCATGCTACGTAATAGGTCTATGAAGCTGACGTTGTGTAGATTTTTCAAGGGAAGTGGGCAGTTTTCAGAAGTGTTTTGTTATTCTAAATCCTTCAATCCTATAGTTCCGCTTCCTAATCTAATGATTAGTGCAGAAACTTTTTTTTTAATCAGGTATAAGAAACGGTTTCTCGCCATAATACTGAGAAACAATTATTTAGTTGGCAATGCTTTTTCATGTGCAAATCTACATCGGCTTCGTCTGTTTCTGACACTTAGGTCATTGATAATATTCCCAGAACCCTGCAGGATTTAAATAATATTATGTAACGAGTACACAAGAATTCTAATAAAATTACCCAGGGATCGACTTTCAAACTGCACTTGCTGTTGTTCAAAAAAGAAAAAAAAATCTTTTGACCGACTTCCTTAAACAAGTTAGAATTACTATTATAAGATTCAAAACTCGAAAATTGCGTCGTGTCACGTTCGTCTGTATATAATTATAATATAGGTATTACTCGGTATTAAGTATTATATAATATTTACAGACACCTAAATCATCATTCCTGTCATCTGGCTAAGAAAACTTGGAATTTGTAGTGCGCTAGCACTGACCACGGGACTTTTGTTACAAATTTTGATTACGAATCTTTAAAATAGTAAATACAATATTATTATAAAATTTTTTCGTTTTTAATTCGACTTGGTGCAATTTACGAGCTGTTGTACAAGACAAGTCCTGAAGACTATTTAGGCGCATTCCACTGCCGCCGTGTTCGCTATTGCATTTTTCGTGGTTTCAGAAATCTGCAGCCATCTGGCCATATTTGGGTTAATATATTAATATTTTCAATTAATACGCGTTTGATATTGGTTATAGCTGTTTTGGAGTATTAACGTAGAATAATGAATATAATATACAGACGGACATATAACAAGAACTAACCAATCAAGAAGTATATTTTCACACGTTTATGATGTTATGACGTGAACACGGCTGTGGTGGAATAACGCCTTTAGACCCCAGAACGATTAGCTACGTCTCAAAAGCATGAGTAGTTTGAGTGTTCGTGTTGTGTAATAATATATATATGATATTATATATTAAATACGTATTACGTACAATATGTTTGACGCGTTTCGTACGGTGTAAAATAAAAGACAATCGTCGTCCAGAAACATGATGGACTCGACGGTATATTATGCTCAACGGTTCCAAAGAAACTATGTTAACATATAATTGTATAGGAACGGTTAGGATTTCAGAGCTTAATTAATATAAGTTCATGTAGTGTATAGGTATATAAGTGTATCACACTAGTTTATTTAAATTAGTGAGGTAGATATCCTGAACGTCATCGTTATATTAAAAGAAAAACGAACGCAAAGACAATGTGAGAAACTTATTTAATGTACAAAACATGTATTATTTCACTGCATATAACTACCTATATAAGTAGCCGGAATCCCATTGTGAAGAGCATTTCGACGAGTCGTTTGAGTACTTATATTAATGTGCTCGTTTCCGTTATTTCTCGTGTTTCTGTGGCAAATAAATTCGTAACGCATACCAAATTCAATTTTTTCTTCAAACTTCAGATATTTATCGGACTAGAAAAAATCGAACAGTTATAAGCGCATACCTATATTATTTATTTATTATATTATAAAAAATTTTAAAATATTAACTATAATATATTAATACGTGAAACATTTAACCACATTATTTTAATTTTTGTACCAAATTATCATTAGATTAATATCCATATGAACTATTATATCACAAATCTACAGGTTATAAGTGAGCAGTCTATAAATTCTATTAAAATCGATTAAAATTTAATAAACATTGGACATGTTTGTAAGACTAAAAAATTCAAAGAAAAATGACGGTCGTAAATTTGCCATCAAGCAGTGGCGCAACCAAGTGAGTGGACCACAGGTCCCGGATTCCTTACCCCCCCCCCTCACCACTGGCTAATGTCATTCTACAATTAGACTCGGTAAAACCTCGGTATCTCGAAGTCGTAAAGGACCAAAAAAAAATTCGATATATCGAAACTTCGAGTTAGCGAGGGAATTAAAACATAAATAAAATTTGAAATAAAAATGTTTAATCATTGGGAAAAATTTGTATTTATAATATAAGATATATTTATACATAGCATATATATTATGTATTAGTATTTGTCATTTAGGTAAGTATACAGTATTTTTTATGAAGGTAGAAAATCTGTAATTTTTGTTTGTTTTTGTTTAGTATTAGAAGTATATTCAATAAAACTTTCTAAAATATTAAGTGCAGAAAAATCGTTGTCAGAAATCCTGACTGTTGTTGGGCGTATCTCCGAAGTTCATGTATATAGTTTTCTGCAGCTTGGGCACCACGTATGAAAGGTTTAACAACGCAGCAATTCCTTCCTCGTCAATTGCTTCATCGGCAGAATCTGTCTATGGCTCACTGAGAATATCAGATGTTTTAAAAATGTCTGAATCGGTTAAACTTTCTGATGTTCTCAAAGTAAAATCAATATCCAAAAATTCTTGATATGAAACATTGATATTGGAGTGTTTATCTAATCTGTCATCATATATTCGAATTAGTGAATCAAAATARGCGTTGGATACCGAATAATGACTTCGACTTATAGAAATATTCGACTTATGGAAATTCGATATACCGAAATAACTACGAAAGTCTAATACTGATTGATCGGGACTGAAAAAAAAAATTCAACATACAGAAACATCGAGATACCGAGGTTTCACTGTGTTTACAATGATGTATTTTTTTTAACATTTTTTTATGACTGTCATCAACATCG